GCATGCTGTGCTCCAGAAAGGTGGTGGCTACTGATCTCAGAGCAGTTCCTCTAAGATTTCAGGCTTTCCTGTGGATGTCTTTGTGTTCTTTGATAGACTACAACTCTTGCACTGTATCTCATACCCTCTTTCTGATATTTGGCTCCAGGTGGTTTCTGCCACAGCAAGAACCTCTTCCGTTTCGTTCCAGGCCTGTTTTTGACCAGGCTTTAACACTTTCTGGCCATTATCAGATAGCAAGTTGATGGGCTTATGCGCAAAGCTGCTGATTATATTTGTTCTTTTGACTTGCACCTGAGATTGTTCCTTCCACTTGCCTCAGAGGATCATAGAGAGTAGTATCATTATGTTCCATTTTTATCTGGAATTCTAAATGAATTTTAGCATGTGCTGCTGTGCAGGTGTGACTGGGTGTTTACCAGAATGGATACCTAACTGCATTTGCTGCCAAACTTTCTGCGATATACACCAATTGGGTGAAATTTTGCAAAAATGTGCTATTTTTTAAGTGTAGTTTAAAACTTATCATTTTTTCGCCTCTTGACTTGTCTTAAAAGAATAAGCTTTCTCTTTCAGGTTTGCTGTATAGTCAGCTCTCTGTCTCTTGCTCTTCTGTTGTAATACAGTACTGTGAGACTCTCTAGTCTCCAGAATAAGAGGTAATATTTCTACCTCTTAAGTAGAAACATAAGAAAGCGCTGAGATGCATGGCATAAATGTTAGGAAGATGTTAATGGACAGCTCTCAGAAAATCCACTAAAACTGTGCTTTTCTTAGTACCGAGAATGTTAAGATTGTAGCATGTTCTTTGTGCTTGGTATCTTGGGACTAGTGGACGTATCTCTGTCGGGCCCTTTCCTCTTCATCTGTCCTCTGCACTATCTTGCAAAGGACCGCAACACCTCCAGAATTAACTTTCACGTCAATGGCATCAGAAAGTGATGCTTAGTGGGCAGCACTGGAGAGTAAGATCTGAACACAAGTTAGACTATGACAAACAATTATTTCTTCAAAAGGGAGCTGTGACTGTTACATTGGACAAATATAGCAACTGTGACAAGGGGAGATTTTGAATGCCCCTTTGCAGGAAGGGGGCTGTGATGGGCATGAGAATATCTTGAAGGTCTGACTCTAACTTGCTGTTAGACGCTTAAAAATGCGATGCATCATTAAGAAAAAGGGGTTAGATGTCCAAAGTACTTCTCTTGGGCTTAAAGAGAATGTGATAAAGGGAATTATATAACCTTTAGAAGGATGGCTGGGGGACTTGGGTAGCTATCTGATTGCTCTTTGGCCAGCTAGCTTAGAGGGGAGGCATCCAGCTTTAAGCAGTCTTATTTCAGAGTTTTGAAGTGGCTACTCATTGACAATGGAAATAAGTACAATAATTGCAGTAGTCTGTTTAGGTTAACATAGTACCTTTTCTTTGCTAAGTGTTTTACTTGTATGTAGATTCATGCACTTTTTAAAAATAAAACTAAGTATATATATTTTTAAGTCCACTTAAATACAACCAAGCAGCAATTTAAAAGTGAAAAACGTGCATCTAACTGGTCAATGAATACCTGCTTTAAGGTATACTTGGTATGTGAGCATCGGCAGAGTTCACCTATATATCGAGATAGATGAGAACGTACGTTTTATTCTTAAGTACAGTTTATTTAAAAAAAAAAAACAACAACACTTTGTACGAAACTGCCTTTAAAATCAGTTTCCTTTGGGAATGAGGATTAAGTGTTTTCTTTATCTTTCAATAGGAAGATGCATCTGGCTGGCTAGTACCAGGAGAAGGGTATACACCTGAACCAATGGAATTTCATCACCTAAGTGAAATAGATATTAAGCTTCAAGTACTATCTGATGGGGATTTTTCTGCAATTCAGAGCTCTTGCTCGAAACCTCCAAGCCAGATTTATCAGGTATATTAAAGAACAGAGCTTGTGTATTGCAGATTTCTTGTTTGAAGTGTGTGTTGAGATCTGGTGCAAATAAAAATACACTAGGCATTTTTATTTTCTTTTTTTGCAATTTTTTAGCATCTTCTATTTGATCTCAAAGTATATGTGTTAAAGAATGAAGTCGTTTCAGTGCGATCTTTGGCTATAGAAATCATATGGAAAATAATGCATTGCTGTTTCTGAGTGATTTATTTTTCAAGGACTGTCATCTTGTTGTTAGTATTTGTTGAAAGTATGGAATTAACAATAAATTTCATATACAGAAGTTGGTAACTCAGACTTTAGCTGCAGAAGGGCTGCAGGGGTTTGGTCAACATAGTAGCACATTGTCCGTGATAATTGATCTTTGGGACCTGGAATTAGGTTTCTTCTTATTTCAGCATTCCAAAGGTGCCTCATCAGTTAGGATCTTAATGATAAAGAAATTATCAATGAGCAATGTTAAAGACTATAGAAAATATTAAAATTGTGTATCTGGTTTTTCAGGGTCTTTGTTTTCTTTTTCCCATGCCAGCAGTAATAAGAGCTGTTGGAATCTCAGCTTTGAGAAATGACTGTTTGGATTTTGTGAAAAGACGACTGTGATTTGTCATATACCATGTCCCAGTAACGTTGTTGTCCGTAATATCCTGGGTGAAATAAAACATAGAATACCATAGTCTGTATTTTCACACTTACTTGCACAAAACTTATTTTATATTGTAAAACTTCCAGTTTGTAGCCAGGACAGGTGTATCAGAGGCTCTGTAAGAGCGTACGTTGGCAAAACTATGTCTTCAGTTATCCGCTTAATGTGAAATATCTCTTTGAACAGTTAAAATAACTGATTTTTTCTTTTTGCTTTTTAAAGGCAACGTTATATCTTTAACTACATTTTAATTTCATTTTTGTATTGACTTCTTTATGAACTTCAGGTTTTATTTCTCCTGAAGTAGTATTTACTATTGCTGTAAGAGATCCAGGGGAATTGCATTTTGATGTGTGTGAACAGCAGCTCCCTCTAATGGTTAATTACTTACATGAACTCGGTTATGCAGTAACTTCGAGGTCATGGACCTGAGCTTGCAAATGATTGCTGGATCTTGTGTTCACCGTTGTGAGAAATCTACTTGAGGTTAGTGTGATTGCTGTGATGACGAATACTCCCCTTGAGAGCACTGGTCCAAGTGATTGTGGTCACTTCCTTTTCAGAAAAAAGCTATGAAGTATTGGACTGGAAGCTTGCATTTATGTGTACGCTTAAAGAAAAGAGTAATGCATTATCTTTTTGAATAATACCAAACTTAAGCAAAAAGAGAGAGTTAATTCCATAAATGAACCTTCATTAGTTAAAGCTAGTTGCTCTTCGATTTTGTCTATGGAGTATAAAAGAATTTTTAGATATTGTAGCTCTGGGAAACACATGCAGGATTCCTTTCATTTTGTGGTGTTTTTTTTTTTTTGTTCAGATGAACTTTCACATGCGAGTCACTTCAAAGAAATGTACCAACCAATGGAACTATTTAAAGGTGGTTTTGTAAATGTAGAGAAAATTGTAAACGGAATAAATACAAGATAAAATGTAGGAGACTTTCGTTATTTAAAATAGAATTTAGAAGGACTCTAATTGCCTAAATCCAAATCTAATTTAAAAAAAAAAAACAAAACAAAACAAAAGCAAACTCTGCCGCTCTGCAGATTTCTAATTCCAGAAGTGTCTGATTCCTTGGT